TCTTTAGTTAAGCAGGTATGAACTTGTAGAATATCCAGACAAGGTGGCACATGCCCTAAATTTAATAGACTTGAAGTAAGAAAACATTGTCTTACAATAAGGATGACTCATCTAGAAATGTAGTTAAGATCAGGCTAATACAAAACATCCTAAAAATTTCTATTAGGACTACTGCCCTCGGGGGACATAACTTTGTACTCTAGTTCCAACATGTAAACTTTAAGTGTTGCATCTCAGTAGAACTTTGACTCTCTTCTCCTCCTTTTTCTTTTCTTAAGGGCCCTTCTTCTGCAGTAACTTTATCACAAGAGTTTGAGCTTGCACGTTGGATATTTTGCCCTCTCATATGGCTAAATAACTGCCTGCTTATGTAGATCCAATTCTGTTTTGGAAGTCCTAAACAACAGTGTAATGCACTCAAACTGTTTATGACTGTTCGGAGCTACATACTATGTTTTGTGTTACATGATTAAAAAAAAAATTACATAAGCCTTGTATATCAAAGGATGTATCTTACTCGAGGTAGGCTGCAGTTTCATGGGCACGCTCAGTATTCAGTGGCTCTTCTCTGCTGTGAGGCAAAGTAGTAGACTGGCAGGTGGGGAGGTACTCCTCAGAAGAGTTACTGTAACGTGAAAACAACCCTCTGCCTTGTCTTCTGCCACAAAATCTTATGTTCCTTTGTCTAAGGTAATATTGTTATGGGAAGTGTCAAATTTGGCTTTTGTTTTTTGTGGGTACAGAGAAATGTGGAATGAATAAACAAAGAAGAGGTAGATATTTATGGTTACTTGTGTTATACGAAAAACAATTTCAACTCGTTCTGTTGAGCGTGAATGAACTACATGCTTGGCGGTCCTTACTTTATTTTTCTTGTGTTTACAGTGATAGAAGCATACCTGTTATGAGATTCTAAGTGTGCCAGGGGGAACCGTACTGATTTTCTGGATCAGTCAAGCTATTGCTGTGTATAAAGTAAAAATGGAATTCTGATAAATTAATTTACTATTTTTAATTCACTGGAAACTTCAAAAGTATTTTGATGAATAGAATGTGCTTCCAAAATAGAAGGAATTGTAATTACAGACCATGAATGGCATGGTATGAACATGATGTTTACAAAAAAAAAATATGCATACACATATATATGTGCAATTAAGAGGAAAGATTTACATCTGTAGGCTAAAATATATTTGCCATTCAGATGCATTTTTATTCTTATGGTATTAATTCCCTAGGATATGATATTTGTGATCTTTATTCAAACAAAGTATTACGTTAATTGCTGCTTGTTTGTGGCATACTTTTCAGAGTAAACTTTTAAGTCAGTTGTATTAAGAGTACACTTAATACGTTAGCCAACTGAGGTGGTTCCATAAACATGCACACATTTTAATTTATAATTTTAGGTGAGATCCTAGGATAAAGACTGTAACAGGTGTTACTGAATAATAATGTGATCTAAAACTTTCAGGATATCAAAGAAGAGCACAGAAAAGTTGAAAATGGTTTTCTACTGGAGAGCGAAGGAAGTTGAATGGAACAAATTCTGAAATCCTGTATCCAATTTATCTTTAATGAAGAAAATTCCTACCCCTTTTCTGATGGGGAAATGTAATGTTTAACCTACCAGAATTCGGCAGTGTGAAGTAACTATTTTTAATTTTATGCAAAAAATATGCTCTAAGTGGATGTTAAATGTGATGTGGTATGGGGAGCATACATAATCAGGTACAGTTGGGATGAAACCAAGAGTAAATGGGAGACATGTATTGGGAAGAGGAGGTTCCCAGGGAAATAAGTTTAAAGTAGATGAAGAGGAAGCCAAAGCAGAATAGAGATTTGGACAGGTAATTTAACAGCGAGAGACAAAAAGAAAAAAAGGTTTGGCAGATGTAAAGGAAGACATGGTATGTGAATAGGGTAGAAAAATAGAACAGTGGTGCATGGTGGGAGGAGAAGAGATACCAGGCAGAAACAGAAGCAAGGGAAGTTCCAACACAGTAACAGGAAACTTTCACCTTGAGGACAATCAAGCAGTGAACAGGTGGTCTGGAAAGGTTGTGCAGTCTCTGTCCTCAAAGGTTTTCAAAAGCAATGGCAGGGGGCAGGGGGATGAATGACCAGGCCTGACCTCATGAGTGGTCCTGATTTGAGCAGGAGTTTGGACTACAGACCTCTGGAGGTCCCTTCCACCTGAATTATCCAACACTCTGTTGGAAACCAAAATTCTGTTAGCTCAGTATTAAAATTCTTTGCTATATGGCCATGGTGTGGCTTTCCAGAATGTATAGTTGACCCAAACAGAATTCTGAAAACCAGGAATGAAATCCTGCACATGGTTAGCTTTACCAACAGTTGTCAGAACTCATGAAATCTTTGGAGTTACGAGCCAGCACTCCAGCTGTGCTCACTGGGTTCAGTGTGGTTATGCCGAGGGACAGAGCGCTCCGTCAGCTTACCAGAGGTGGGGGACAGGCAGTGTCAGGGAGGAAAGCTCTGCTCAGCCTGCCTTGCCACAGTACAGCCAACGTGCAGAACATCTATGTGAACAGAAAGATCTTTTTATTTTTTTTCCCCCACTTGAAACAGTTGGTATTTAAATTGAAATTAAGTTTTAAACCTCGTCTAGAGCAGCAATTGTTTTGCTATGATGATTTATAACGATGATTTCCGGTCTTCCTTTATACATTTTCCTTGATCATTTAAAAGCATGCAGTATCTTTCCAGTGTGTGGATTATCATTATTTTTCATGTTTTCACACTTTATTAGTAGGCTTTCCCCTCTAACATTGCATTTCTCCTCCAGATTAAAAATGTTTTTTTTTCACACTTCGTTCAACTGTGCTTTATTCTTCAGTAAATTCAACCTGCATATCTTAATCACCTTTTTTGTAGTCTTCTCTTCTTTCTCATTTATGTTACAGGAAGTTAGAGGTTTAAGGGGACTGGGGAGAGGAGTAAGATGGGCACTTCTCTAGTTTCAGTCTTTGAGCAGCCTCTTGTGAGGTTACTTTTGACACTTGCTGTTGATAACTGACATATTTAAAAAGAACTGTCTGAGTGTAAGTCATGGTGCTCTTTTGGATTCCACAGCCTTCTTCCACATGTGGATTTTTGTAATAGCTCCAATCTAAACTTCTTCATTAAAATACTTGGTTCTATAAAATCTGAGGTCTTGAAATTTGATATGCCAGTCTGGTTTATTATGTACATTTGTCTTGTAACTGCATTCCATATACAGTACTAAATTCAAGTGGCTCTTGCTCTCTGATTTCAATCTAGCCACCAGTTTCTTTCTGCTGATATGAATTTAATTCAATATGGTTTCCCATTGACCCATTTTTTAGACTGTAAAGTTTTTCTGTATTAAGTAGAAGTCAACTTTGATGCATGTTCAGTATATTTTTTGCCCAGTGAATCTATGGGAAGATAATTTCTCCCACAGTTGTGGTATCCTGTGATTTCCAGTTCTGTGAGAACTGGCCATGCATTTTTTTAATTCTTGCTTTCATCTGGTTGTGATGGTTTATAAGCAGATGTTTATTGTTCTCTCTTCCCCCCCCCCACCATTCTTGCTAACAATACAAAGCCAGTTGCTACCACTGTTTTTACTGTCAGGTTATAAATATTGGACATAATAAATGCTCACAATTCACAAAATATTTGTAATTATCTTTTGGGATCCTCAGTGGTTAATTCACTCTTCTTGCTCACAAAAAATTATGTTAAAAAGATCAGAAATCACTTTCCAATAATGTGAACTCTGCAGCAGCTTTAAAACTAATTTTCAGGTCTGTATGTCTATTTTTGTAAAGAAGTCTTTGAGTTAACAATAGAAAGTGAGATGTTTACTTAAGTAATGCATGTGATTGAACTTATTGTGTGGTATGTAATTATAAAAAACCCTTTCCACATGCAACAAATATGTATCTTTATATTCAGACTTGTTTGAAGAGCAGTTTGGCCATATTTTTATAATTTCTTTTATGTCTTTCACTACTCATTTATTTTGTGGTGGTGTTTGGTGTATTTTTGTCCCTGAAGTTTCATTGAAGTCTGCTTTAAACATAATTAGACTTTACATTTATGCGATTTCTAGCTGCTTATGGAATGGCTCTCCCAAAGACATTGGAAGTCCTATGTTTTGTTCTGCATATTAATTCAACATCTACGGGATAGTATCCTGAATTAGAAGTGAGAGTTCCAGACTTGAATTATTTTGATTTGTTTGCTTAAAGAAAGGAAAATGCTCACTGAATCTTGAAACTGTAGTCAGTAACAAGAGAAAATACTATTTTTTTAAAGTATTTGCATTATGGAGCAGATCAGGCAATGACTTGAAACAATTGTTCTTGGTATCAACAAAATGTATAACATTTTTTCTCCCACTGAAGATCTAAAAAGTTTCCCATGCCAAGATGTTTTTCACAACTTTTTTTTTCAAGTTGAGGTGGTGAACAGTTACGTCTGCTCTATCCTGAACAGTGTCTTTGATTGTTTTCTTTTTTTTTTTGGCTGTTATGTAGTGTATATTGCTGGAAAGAGGTTTTATGCTGTCTCATAGTAGTTTTTTTTTTTGCTTTCCTCAGTATTGCTGATACTGCATTTAGTGATCTGTTGAAATGATAAGTGGTATGAAGTTTTCAAGAAGTTATGTTCTTTGTTTCATCTAGTGTCAGTAATGTGGACATGAACAAATACAGTTACATAGAAGCCTCTTATTTAAATTGGTTTGGGGACAAGCTTATGTGATGTTTTTATGTTTTACAAAATCATATAAAATATAATATGAATTTTATATTTGACATGTGTGTTTTTAAAATTATGTATTTATATTAACTGTGCCTTGAAATAAGTCATCTTAAAATTAAATTTAGCTGTTGAAAAGGTTCTGTCAAGAGACAGCAGTATATGGATTGAAGGTAATGTTTAGCAGATTGGTAATTTTGATTGATTTATTTTGCATGAAATACTAAGGTTTTTTTTCTTGATCACAGACAACCTATCACAACAAGTGTGTGTAATTACTGATGTGAAGGAAGCTGTTGTACACGTAGGTTTTCTCCTTCATGAGTCTCTGAAAAGCCAAATAACAGTAAGTACAACTTAATGACTGCAAACTATACGATTAATGTTTCTGGTTGTCACAACTTCTAAGAAATGGTCTAAATGTGAATACAGAAACTGAGACCTCCTGTGTCACTGTAGTTTTTATTACATGGGATTAACACCAGGTGTGGAAGTTATGAAGAAAGAAGCATCTTTTGCCCAATAATTCTGTAGGGGAGGATCTTAAGAGATCCTCTTAAAATGTATATATTAGATTAGAGGAGAAATTGGATCCAGACAACAGAAAGGCCATTTTCTTTAGATTTTATGAATTCAGTAAGCCCAAATTGTTACAAATATGTTACAGAGGAAATGCTTCTGTTACTTTGAAGTCTGAATTAAAGTCTGAACCAATTAAAGAGTAAATTGTATTTCTGCAGAGCTATGAGTGCGAAGTCAAACTGATCAGTCTTTTAGCTGAGAGATAGGGGTACATTTCACTCACAGTGAATGCTCATTGAAGCCTTTGTTCGAGGATATTATTGCAATTTTCTACTGGCATTTAAGTATCTTTTTTATTATTCCTACTAATAGAACTATCACATATTTTTATTTTCCCCAAGGTGATAAACATTTGGTAATTGCTTAAATCTTGACTGATTTTGGGGTGACTCTTAATTATGTAGAATCATAGAATGGTTTAGGGCAGAAGGGACCTTAAAGATCATCTAGTTCCACCCCCCTGCTATGGGCAGGGACCCCCTCCACTAGACCAGGTTGCTCAAAGCCTCATCCAGCCTGGCCTTGGACACTTCCAGGGATGGGGCATCCACATTTTCTCTGGGCAACCTGTTCCAGTACTTCACCACCCTCTCTGTGAAGAACTTCTTCCTGATATCCAATCTAAATCTCCCCACTTTCAATGTGAATGCATTCCCCCTTGTCCTGACTCTACTTGCCTTTGTAAAAAGTCTCCCCCCCAGCTTCCTTGTAGGCCCCCTTCAGGTACTGGAAGGCTGCAATGAGGTCTCCCCGGGGCCTTCTCTTCTCCAGGCTGAACAAGACCAATTCTTGCAGCCTTTCATCATAGCAGAGGTGCTCCAGCCCTCTGAGCATCTTTGTGGCCTCCTCTGGACTCACTCCAACTGGTCTATATCCTTCTTATGCTGTGAGTCCTAGAGCTGGATGCAACACTCCAGGTGGGGTCTCACAAGAGCAGAGTAGAGGGGGAGAATCCCCTCCTTCGACCTGCTGGCCTGCCTCTCTTCTGGGTAGAGCCCAGGATAGGGCTGGCTTTCTGGGCTGCCAGTACACACTGTTGGCTCATGTCCAGCTTTCCATTCACCTTCACCCCCAAATCCTTCTCCTCAGGGCTGCTCTCGATCCATTCTCTGCCCAGACTGTACTTGTGCTTGGGATTGCCCCGACCCAGATGCAGGACCTTCCACTTGGCCTTGTAGATCTTCCTGAGGTTGGCACAGGCCCACCACTCCAGCCTGTCCAGGTCCCTCTGGATGGCATCCCTTCCCTCCAGTGTGTCAACCGCAACACACAGCTTGGTAAACTTGCTGAGGGTGCACTCAGTGCCATCATCCGTGTCACTGACAACGTTGCTAAACAACACCGGTCCCAGTACTGACCCCTGAGAAACACTGCTCGTCACTGGTCTCCACTCAGACACTGAGCTCTTGATGACAACCCTGAGTGTGACCAGCCAGCCAGTTCTTTATCTACCAAGTGGTTCATCCATCAAATCCATGCCTCTCCAATTTAGAGACAAGGATGTCATACAGGATGATGTGAAACTCTTTGCACAAGTCCAGGTAGATGACATGTTATGTGGTGGTATCACATCTTTTTATTACCCAGACAAAAATGTGGGGAATAGCTGTTCAAAAATACAGATTTCCTGATCTGGATAATGTTACTTCTGTAATGGTTTTATTCATGTCTGTTGGTATTCTGCATTGTGTGCTTACTTAATAGTAGGATGTTCTTCTGTAGTAAACAGCATTGCTATTTTATATCTAGAAATGTTATTTTATGTTGTACTTAGAATTTTGTGTTTGGAAAGAGTTATATTTCACATGAAAAGTCATGCTTTATATCTATTAAATATCTATATTTAAAAGTGCAAAAAATCAGCAGAGTTGGGTAAGAACTTTTCTTGTCTGAATGACTGTATAATGGAACAAAAGTATGTTACCATTTCATTGATACCAGGTCCGTTGCTACCTTTCCTTTTTTCTCTGTATTTAAACTATTCTACCATTACTAGGAAGACATCACTCATAAGGAAAAAGTAGTTCTTTAAGCGTGGACTTATCTGTATCTATATCTGTGTTTGTATCTATATCTTATGTTTGCACATAGCCACTTCAATCATACCATGCAAAACACTTCCAAGACAGTAAGAAAAGTCAAAGAATGCCTTATGTTTGATCAACAAACTTCTTAGCAACCTCAAATCAGATTGGCACCAAAACTACTTAAAATCTATAACATATTTGCAAATTTTAATTGCAAAATCAGTTAATTGTTGGGTTGGTCAGGCACCTGAACTGTGGTGTATTTGCATGAAACATACATAAAATGACCACAAACGAAGTAATGAGGGCATAAAATGAAGGGATTCCTGCTAATATGGGACTGTTTTGGGGTTTTTTTGATGGCTCTATTAAAACAGCTTATTTAGTTTATCATTTCTAGCACTGTTCTCTTTTTTGGATCCATGTTGTCTTTCCTCATAATGAGGTTGATTGCAGAAATGTTTTGAAGGTGTTAGAGAAGTTTAGCAAAGTGACACCTGCCAGAGAACTACATCAAGCCTTCTGTATTTCCCCAAAACATCCTCAGTCATTAATGTTATGAATCCTTAGACTGAAAATCTAGAAAAACTAATATTTATGTATTGAATGTCTTCTTTTTAAACAATAACATCTCTAAAATCTAATTTTTAAGCTTACCAATATACGTTTCCTTTTACATATGAAGCATCTTAGAATATATCCACTGGCCTATAATTTCTCAAGTGAAGCACAGTAACCTTGTGACAGAGATTTGACTTTGTAGAATGTGATAATTATTTTAAGCAAGTTAAATGTATCATGGTGAAAGCTGGGCCTTTTCAAAGGGCTACCTGGAGGGTAATTGATCTGAATAAGACACTATTTGGGAATCATTCAGTATAGTACATATCTGAAATTTAAACTAACTATGGTTAATACTTTAAAATTTTAGATAGTTTTGATGCACTAATTTTTAGTAGCAGCCATATGTACTTTTAAGATATTTGTTAACTTCTAGATGCATCCTTAAAGAAGAATTAAAATGAAATTTTGTTAGAGAGTTCTGATAGAGGCTTCAATAAAATAAGGATGCCACTAACAAACGAAGAAGACCTAAAATTTTAACTGATGGTATAAGGAAAATGAAAATAAAAGCTTTCCTTAAATAAAAAATTAGGCAACAGTTTTTGCTTGCAAAGTACTTTAAGTATTTTAATCAGTGTTACTGTAAAGTGTATAACTAATAAAAGAATGTTTTCCAGAAGGTTTTACTGTGAAAGACGTAAGTTGAGTCTTTCCTTAAGTTTGTTAGTTAGCCCTGTCTCTTGAAGGAAGGAAACCTTAATGTGGGCTTAAAGTATTTTCTTCTATGACTAGAAATTATGTACTCCTGCTTATTCAGTGACAAGATGCTCCTGTCACATGAAATATATATGGGTGAAGTTGTGTGTTATTTTTGTGACTGGATAAATATCCAAGAGCATTATATCAAAATACTTGATTGTTTTTAATTAGGAGAGGAACTAGAGTTTCACTAGTAGAAATTCACTGATTTCTTAATCATTGCATTGTTTGTCTGCTGGATTGGTATCAATTATGATTTTAAATTCTGATGTAATTTAACTAACTTTTACAGATTCACAATGTCTCGGTACTATTTTTTTGTTTTATGACAGTAGATGTTGAATAAAGTTGAAACTTGAGCACAGGGCATGTGATAAGTAGAAAGACATTAAAGAAAACATAGATTATTCCTATTCATTTTCATTAAAACTTACCATCTCTGCTTCTTTAAGCTAGCTGAATATCAATAGCTACAATGACCAGAGGTGGTTAGGCAGATCCATATACCTTTTTCTATTTAAACACTGAAACACTGTGATACATACTTTTTTACTAAGGTGGTATTTTTAGGTAATTTTTGCTTTCTCAAGTAGCTGATGACTTTGATTAATATTAATTTTAATTAAAAAAAAAAAGTTTGCATAGGATACTAACATGCCAAATAGAATTAGAATTAATTTCCTTTAATTGTTGGTGTATTGAAGCCTCTAGTTAGGCATCTGTGCTTACTTTTCCAGGAGAGAAATCTGATGTAATCTTTGCTGGATAATACATCTGTAAAACAAAGGCTCAGTGTAATGCTTTATAAAATTGTTTAAGTTAAATCAAAACTCTGATACGCTAAATTAATTTTTAAATGTTCAGGAATACTTAAGCAGCTTGTACTGTAATATCTCAAGTTAAAAAGAAAAAAGTAGGCCTTCTCCCTTGAGTCATGTTCCATTTACCTTCTAGAAAGACTCTGGCATGCCGTATGCTCCTCTTCGTCTAAATATGTGCAACTTTGTAAAACTGTACTGAGGATTTCTGATTTTACTTCTGCAGAAGTTCAAGCCAGGAGAGCTCTGGAGTATTGCATTTTTCAAGTATTTTAAGTAATTCTTGGCTTCTGTGATTTTTATTATTATTTTTTTTATTATTATTTTATTTTTTTTTAGGAAAATAATCTCCTTAAAATATTATATGTCAACCATTTGGGGCTGTGTTACCAGATTTTCAGCCCAAAATATTTCTAAAATCTTTAGTGCATGAATATAAACTTTTGGGTTTCAAACCACCTTCCTTTGCAAACAAGTTAGCTCCCCATGTTTTGCAAAAATAAACAAATACAACTTCAGATAATAGCTGAAAGCCTGTTCACATGTATTTGGTACTTCTGTTGGATTGTGGATTACATGACATTCTGAGGCCACATAGCAGTGTGTTGCTTCTGTTGGTTGCTGCTATATATAATATGACTTCTGGGCAGAAATAAAGCTCGTTTGAGAGGTTTGGAACAGTGAGGTTTGCTAGCTTAATGGAAGCAACCAGAAGATTTTTTTTTTTGGGGGCCTTATTTTCAAGTTTATTTTGTTGGCTTCAAAGCATTATCTTCTTTTAGGGAACAAATTCCCCTTCCACTACCTGGGAAATTCTAAATTAGTCTTGTTATATGCAGAATCCTAGAATACCTGTGCACCTGGTCTTTCATATATACTTAATTTTATTTTCAGTTCCATGAAGATAGAATATATGTATTTGAATATAACTGAGATTTTCTCAGCTTTGGAGTCCTGAAATCATTAGGTCGTCTTGATCCTACTAACAGTTTTAACCTTTGGGACCAGTTGGACATCCTACCCCAGGCAGCACCGCTAGCGTCTGATACTTCCCAGGCCATTTCTGGATGGCTTCCCCTAGCAGTATGCTTCAGCAAAAACTTGCAGGAAACTCTGCAGGGTGTTGGACTCCATGGTTGGCTGTTGAGTCACCTAAAAATTTGAGCAATTTTTAATTCTCAGAGTGGAAATAGTAATTGTCAGTTTTAAATCATTTGAATGAACAAACTCCGCCACTCTTCCAATAGTGAAAGCTTTAGAAAATAAGAAGGCTGAAGTCAAATTTATGACATAGTAATAACTTTTTTTTTTCCCTAATCAGGTTGAAGCTATATCAATATCTCTAAGCAAAACCGATAGCCATCTACAAAACAGCTTTTCAGGACAGTGCTACAATTTTATTTGCGTAAATGTAAGTAGTAAGGATGCATGCTTTTAGTTTTGCACTTAAACTTATTACATTTTTTGTATAGTAAGTTGTTTGTTATTTCTGTCTTCTTGGTTCATCCATTCTGATGTTTGGTGTTTCTGATGTGCACCAAAGTAGATCTTATAGATACTGGTCTGTTCTTTCTCTTGTGGGTTCTGCATTTCAGTGAGTATGTTGGTAAACCAGACATGAATACTTGAGTAAGAGGGATGCAACTGAAGTTTAAAGCTTCCTTTCATAAATATTGTATTGACATGAATTGTATCAAGAGGTCTGTAATTTCTGGAGTCATCTAACTGCATTGCTACTGTGGTCTATATTAGTGTTTCCCTTTTTTGGGCACACACATGCCATGCAGTCTGTATTTGGGTCCCTGTATAGGAACAGGAAGGTTTTAGATGAACCATATCTGACACCAATCAAGATCTCAATTTTTTTTCAAACAGTTATAACTTTAGCAGACAATAGCATTACAGATATATTAAACACAAGCAACCAAGCAAAACCCCCCAAACCCAATAAAGTGATGTATCTTTTTTTGGTAAATAGCAGATATTTGAACTCCATTTTTATAAAATTGTTCGACGTTTTCAGTAATTACAAACGTTTATTTTCATTTAGGATAAAAAGTATGCCATTCAGGAAACCCAGCAACTAGTGGATATGTTGGAAAAATCAAATATTCCTCTCTTATATCCAGTTGTCCTTATTTCGGTAGGTAACTCCTGTAAGTTACTCAAGAAAGCCTCTAGTGAAATATGTTTTAAAAGGTAGACTAGGTTTAAACTGCTGCTAGCTCTGAATAAAATTGTAAATTTGAACTATAAATTGGACTGTAAAGAGCATAATTTTCTTTTCAGCAAATGTACTGCACGCTATCAAGAAATAAACCAACATTAAATGACAATTTATTAGCTATAGATTTATGAAAAAGACTCATTGTGGCTTGTCATATTGAACTGTTAACTCCTGCTTCGTTGTTGCACTCCATCTTTGCTAGGGGTGCTGCAAATGATGTGCTCTACTTGAACACTCAGTTGAAACAAAATTAAGGCGCTTTATTTTTTTTCAATGCTGTGTGGTTTATTAAAAAAATTTAAAGTGTAGTTTTTCTGGTCCAAATATTAAAAATTAGCTTTGAAGTACTTTGCAATAGAACTTTAATACATACATTACTTAATGAGATGTTGTAAGACTGAAGAATCTATTAAGGTATGTGGCAAAAGTTTTAAAGTGTAGTTTTGGCTGAAATTCTCATTATTTACATATTGCTGCCAGAGTAATTTAACAGTTCATGTGGATGACAGCTGAAGGTGTACATGGCTTTTATTTTACTCAGACTGTTAAAAAGGAGAAAACTTGAGTAGATTTGAAAGTCTCTGTGCAGTGTAACCAGGTCTAATGAATTCTGTCATGTTTTCTGGCTTAATAGGTAGGGATGAGAAGTAATGGGTGGAATGAATGTCATTAATGCCGTATGTCACCAAGCAGTGTGTCTCTGGAATGTATTTATTATACTCTCCAGCAATAATGCAAGGGAATATGTTGTGATTTTAAGGAATAATTCCATATATGAAGCTCTTGAAAAAGGAATAAATAGTTATTTTAAATGAGGCCTGAATGGTTTCGGAAGTGTGTTGCGTAGTGATCTGGAGGGTAAAACTGTGTGTTTACTGCTCAGATTTAGGCCTAATCTGAAATTTAAGTAATGGCATTTCATTACTGATCTAACAAATGAATGAGATCTCATGAAGATCATTTACCTTTACGAAAACAAAAAGTTATATCCTTACCTATTGTATGCTGTTGTCTTGAATGAGCTGCTGTGATTCCACGAACATCAATATTTAGCACTTTATTTCCAGGCCATCTTTTTTTCTTGACCCTATTTCTGAGGAAGCCCAGAGTAGAGCTTTACTTTTACTGTATTTTAAAGATAAATTATTTCTGTCTTTGATAATCAGAGTAATGATGCACCTCCGATTCTGTTGCCTATAATCAGAGTAATGATACACCTCCAATTCTGAGGCTACTGGATGTGCAGAATGGTCTTTTCTGGACTGAGAATGTTCTCATTAGCCCTTTAGCAAGAATATTAAAAAAATTCTTTCTCTGTTAAATTTGGGAGTGTGCACATAAAGTTAGGATTATTAATCAACTAGATAATGTTACAGTGTTAAGAGCATTCTTATTTTGTGCCCGACTCCTAGCTAATTTCTACCCTGGACTTTTAATTACATGGCTTTTTTTAGTGTGACACATGGAATAAGAGAGATTTGTTTTAATAATTGTAGCTATAAATATTCTGGACTTAATATTTCCTGAGAAATAGGTATGAATGCTAATAATGCTTACACAAGCTCATTGTGAAACTTGGATTTTGCCCCTAAGATACCAGATCTTGAAGTCATTGTGTAACAGCGCCATTTGAATGGCGGTGTACTTGCTTGAGCAGCCTCCTGCAGGCACAGTTATTTCTATGAACATCTTTTAAAATAGCCGTAGGAGAAAATGATACATTTAATCCCTTCACTATACTCCAGATCCATCAGTTGTTCCTGACAACTACTTTAAACTTCCCGAAAATGAACAGTGGGAGAAAAGTCTTATAACTAGGTGGAGGCAGTTGCTAACATTTAAAACAGACGCACATATATTTCTTAAAAGTGTCTTCAAAGAATAAAGTACTGTAACTCTAAAAAGGCATTTTTATGCTACACATTCAGATTTTATGGATTTACCACACTGTCTTTTAGAAATACAAGAGGGGAAACATTAGAAGGACTGGAAAGTATGTTCTAAATGACTAAAGAATTAGCTAAACAAATCATTGTCTCATATTAATCACTAGGAACTATTTAAGTTCTTTAAACTTCTGATCCCTAAAACTCATTACAGATGGTATGACTGGGGGATAGCAATTTCCTTCAGCAGTCATTAATTAAATCCAATGTCGGGTGTCCTCTTCACTAAGGCTTACAAGTGGGATTCTCCTCAGCTTTATTCTGTTATATACTCCATTAACATAGAACCTGAATGCCTTGTTAATGAAAAGTCCTGTCAGACACTTCTCTTTTGATGTAAAAGGGCATCTTAATATATCTCAGGCAAATGTTACTCAGAAATTTAAGCAATACGATGATATTTAAATGAATATGTTTTAGGTACTTGCTGTATGGTAAACACACTTTTCTGCTCTGAAACTGTTCCTGGCAGTGAAGAATTGAAAGGCTGAATGAGGAAAGCAGCTAACTGCATTCTAACCTCATAATCAGGAGCAGTCTAATGTAGACCTCTGTGTAATTAGGAAGTTCTTGTCTATTCTTTGATTTCAGGACATGTGTTACCTTTTCATAACAATCTGATAAGTAAGAGAATCAATTTGATTTTCCTTCTATTTCCTTTCTTTCCTTTTTATTTTCCTTCTAAGGTTCAGCTTCTTTGACTGTAAAAATGACAGGTGGTGTTATTGTGCCAGATAGTCAATTTAACCAGTCAGGGGAGAATTATCCCAGTAACAGGATGAGCTTGCACTGGATGTGATGACTTAAGTCCTTATTCCCTCCTATAAATTGCCACAAATATCAATCTATCCTTTATCCTGGTGCCTGACCTGAGTTTTTTTGGTGGCATCTGTAAGCTGAAGCATCAATTTGACTAATATATCTGGACACAGCAGGAAAGGGAATGTCAGGAGAAATAGGAAACATAGAGGTAAACTTCATGCAAATTTTTATCTGCATCAAACCACTATTCTCTCCAACTCTGCTGTAACCAGAAGAACTATATTCTTAAACTGACATTACTTTTCTGAGTAATATGTGTTCACGTTTGTAGATGCGAGTATCTAACTGAAGACATGTGATTTTTATTTTGTTATTACTTATGGTTATTAAGAAAGGAATGCTAGTACTTCAACTCTAGTTGCCAGTGTTTGCTTTATGTTACAAAAGTAAATTTCAGGAAAATCTGTTTTTAATGCAGTGGAACAGAAAAATGATAAATAAGTGTTAGGTCGTGGTCTCTCAAAATAACAGGTTTTAAAACTTAGAATCATAGAATGGTTAGGGTTGGAAGGGACCTTAAAGACCATCTAGTTCCAACCCCCCTGCCATGGGCAGGGACACCTTCCGCTAGACCAGGTTGCTCCAAGCCTCATCCAGCCTGGCCTTGAAGACATCCAGGGATGGGGCATCCACAGCTTCTCTGGGCAGCCTGTTCTAGTCACAATAAATGAGGAGAACTTAGCATTGTTTTGGGTAAAACATAACAAAACAATGGGTGCTTGAAAATTAATCTGTCTGTGTAGTAGAAGACAACAGCTTTGTTCCTCGTGAATATGCATTTAGATGGTAAACAGCTTTTTAAAAAGTGTTGTAAGGAAAACTGAGTAAAAGCCTATTATGTCTCAAGATAAATTGAACATAAGGTATAAAGAGAACTTGAAATAATTTTTCCAAGCAAAGATCTTTAGGGCTATCTCTTTACTTCTGCCTCTCTATAGTACTTATGGATAAGTTTTATATAGATGGAGTCATTCAACCAGAAAAATAGTTTCTTTTAAGGGAAAATGTATTTCTGCTATTAATAGATGCTTAAACTGTATATATACAAAGCCTCATCCTTAATTTTGATTTCTACAGTTAATAGAAACTTCATGAAATAAACTAATTGAACTGCGGAAACATGTAAGCCTTGAGAAGGGGTTCAGAGAGCCCCAAGCTAGTTGATACCTTCCTGAAGGAAGATGCCAGCTCAGGTCCTGTAATACCCACAATGTTTGTGCAGCATCCCTGCTGGGTATGAGACCTGCCTTTCCATGTCCAAGAGCTCAAGACAGTCTTATCCCTATCTTCTTAAACTTGAAGTGTTGTCATGAAATTAAACCAATTTAGGCAACTGATATGCTGTACTGAAAAGGTAAGAAATTAAAAATAAATGTTTAAAGAATATAGTTCCAGTTTGAAAACCTTTAAGATGCTTAAGAAAATATTTTTCTTTCTCTAGTAACCTGATAGTAAAAAAAAAAAAAAAATCTGTGAAATTTACATTAGAGCTTAGCAAACAATGTTGTTTTCTGATTTAATGAAGTATTTTTAATATGCAGTTAGAACATTGTGTTCTGATGTGTTCTGGTGTATTGGTTTCACTGTGCTTTGAATAGAAATAATTTTCATGTCACTTAAATATGAATGTGGTGGAATTCAATAGTAATAGAAGCTAACTAAGAAAAAACTTAGTTGTCCTGTATTTTTATATGTGCTTTATTACATAAAAATGAGATATTAAAAACTGGCAGTCTAAAGTAACACAATTCAAAAAAGTGGGTTTTTTTTTCATATTTGTGCCTTTGCAGGTACACTTGGATATTTCAGAACATGTTTCTTTCAGCACTGAGATGGAAGAATTAACTAGAATCAAGAAATTTGCAAGGGAAGTGAAAAAGAAAAATATTTTGGTTTATGGTCTCCTTATCCAATGTAAGGTATGTAATTCTCTTTCTATGTGCAAATGATCTACTTTTATGATTTATATGATTAATGAGAGAATCTTAATTTAAAACAAAATCAAAGGGATATAAATATGACATGAAATGCTCTTGCTGGGAAAATTCTTGCCTGTTCTTGTTGAAAAAAAAGTTATACGCAAAAATGTAAGCATTTTGATTAGAGAGGAATAAATGGTAAACATTTTTTTAGAAGCATGTGAAAATGTCAGGGCCTTTTTGGATTTTTGCTTTCCTGCTTTGAAACACCCTTTTTGCAGAAGTAAAAAAGTGAAGAATAGTAAAAGTCCATTTGATCAGGGGTTCTGCAGCATTTTATATTCCATATCAAACCAGTGTTTGGTACTGAGGTGACAGAAAGGTTATGGCATGTAGGTGGTGAAACCAAGTGTCGATGTCTAACATAGCAGCGAATTGCCTCAGCTGGAGTCAAAGAGGGTTAGCACTCCAACATCTTGTGGTACTCAAAAGCCATTTCAAATAAACAATTTTTCCTGGGAAATTTGTCCTGCCAATCAGAAAAGCGGGCTGCCTTGTCTCCAGTGCAGATACAGTATTTGCAGCTTCATAACTTTCTTAAAGGAAGAAGGAAGTTAGATATTCAATGGCAATTTTACTAAAGAAGGTTAGCTGTAATCCCAGTTGAATTTTTTTAGATGGAGTTAGGTGTTTGGGTCTGTGTATAACTGGTCACACATGGCTGTAGTTATATATCTTTTTCAAGTCAAAGACTTGATTTTCCCCCCAAAATGCTGTTGGCTTTATTAAGAACTATGAGCATCAGTACCTATTGGTGTATGCTTCTACAGATTTCTGATGCCAACGTATTTTATATGTGAACATTGTTGTTATATGACATTAGTTTGTCCAATGTACAAGGATATACAACTACTTTCAATCTCTTTTCTGGTACTACAAACCCTATTTTTTCCAGGGTGAGTTCTGGCTTCATTTGGTAAAAATAATTTGAATAACTGTTGAAATGTAGCATTAACAGGTCATACAAGCACATTGTCATGGTAAAAGTTAACATTGCAAATACTGTTTTAGCGCTAGTAAGATTTTTTTTCCTTGTGAATTTCATAGGGTGTATATATGATTTTGTATGACAATGGAACAAATATATGTATGTTGATAAAAAGAGTTAATAAAGCTAACTGGAAAAAAGGAAAAACTTGTATCTTAAGGATTAGAGGATTTTTGTGAACGTGGCAGCAAAACATTTTATCACTAAAACATATATAAGAACAATAGAATCATAGAATCACAGAATGGTTTGGGTTGGAAGGGACCTTAAAGATCATCTAGTTCCAACCCCCCTGCCATGGGCAGGGACACCTTGCACTAGACCAGGTTGCTCCAAGCCACATCTAGCCTGGCCTTGAAGACAGCCAGGGATGGGGCATCCACAGCTTCTCTCGGCAACCTGTTCCAGTGCCCCACCACTCTCTCTGTGAAGAATTTCTTCCTGATATCTAATCTAAACCTCCCTGTTTTCAATTTATACCCATTACCCCTTGTCCTATCACTGCAGGCTCTTGTAAAAAGTCCTCTCCCAGTACTCTTGTAGGCCCCCTTCAGATACTGGAAAGCTGCAATGAGGTCTCCTCGGAGCCTCCTCTTCTCCAGGCTGAACAAGCCCAATTCTTGCAGCCTTTCATCATGGGAGAGGTGCTCCAGCCCTCTGATCATCTTTGTGGCCCTCCTCTGGACTCGCTCCAAGTGGTCAATATCCTTCTGATATTGAGGGCTCCACAGCTGGACGCAGTACTCCAGGTGGGGTCTCACCAGAGCAGAGTACAGGGGCAGAATCACCTGTAGGAGAGGTGATAGGAGGAGATCTGATCTGGTCCTTGGTAAGAATTGCAGCAGACACTGCTTCAGTCTTTTGAAAATGAAAAGCTAGAATCCTTACGTAAGTCACTGCCAGCAGAAAGTCATCATTTATTAGCATGGGAAAAGTATTATATAGACTAAAACATTTTGCAAAGTGAATAAATTACTTCTAGTTATTTTGTTTTAAAATGGCTTTAAAATGCGTCCTGCTCACAAAGATGGGGATGTAGTCCTGAGTTCCTGATTGTCAGTGTTTTGATAGTGACTACCAAGTAGGTTATACAGATCATGTGTTTATATATGATGTATGTATCAAGTTTTCTTTTGTCTGGAGATCTACAAAGAACATAATTGTTTCTAGGTGAGGACCTATGGAAAAACCTATAAATCAGGAAATCGCATAACCCAAACTTTATTGTTTGTCTGGGGAGAGTGAGAGGGGGGCACTGTGGAGAAAAAAAAGCAATTTAAGAGGAAAGACATCTTCAAAACAGTGTGGTTTGTGGGTTTTTATTGATTTTTTTTTTTTGTTAATTTCAAAGCATGATTTGAGACTTACCATGGTATTTTACTTTTAGTACAACCCATTAGCCAATAGGTAAACCCATAGGTGGATTCTGTGCTTGAGGATGGAAAGATGCATTTCATACAGGCATGATGCAGGGTCCAGAGGAAGTGGAAACACAAAAGCACCTGTTTCTGTAATGCAGGATACTCAGACTGTTGTTGCAATAACTGGTAGTATCACTTTCCAGAAGTCCCCGAAAGCTATAGTTTATTTCAGGAAAAGTGATGAGAGATTATTTCACGGAGCTTCCCTCTAGCTGACAGCTTAGTTCATCACTGCCAGACATGCATGGTTGATATACACACTTTTACTGATTCAAAACCAGGGGTAGAATGTAAGGGACGAAAAATTTGTTGAGACCTATGACCATGGTGAAATTATTTCATGCTTAGAAGGGTTATATGATTAAATTGCTGTAATGATATGTTGGTAGAAAAGAATATGGGGGCACACTTTAAGATTCTGCATTAGAAAAGTAAATTTGTTGACATAAATATTTTTTGAGATATATAATTGTTTTTTATATTTTGCAAATGGAAGTTAAATGCTTTTGGAACCTAGGAGTACATTTTTGAAAGTAGCCTAAGAAAAAGCATCAGTTTTCATTTTCTAAATGCAGTGTTTATTTGGTATTTAGAAAGAATTCAAATACTGTGAATATTTGATACTTCCAGAAGCTAATCAGGAAAATTAAAGGAAAAGGCTTTAATGTGCTTTATAAATCACCTTCTTTGTACCTTCCATTTGCTCTAAATGAGTGCATGATCACGGCTTGTAGACAAATAGTTACTTCTCTCATAAACATCATGAATGGAATACCAAGTTACTGATGTTGATACAATGATTGGATCAAAATATAAGCAGTATTTCTTAATACAGAAGTGCAAATTCAGAAGCTTGTGAAGGTTGCAATAATAAAATCTTGGTCTAGAAGTTTCAGTAATAACTTTGTTAGTTTTCACAGAAAATAAAAAAGAACAATTATCATCCAAAATAAAGCATGCATGGATGGACATAGGAAGCCACAGAAAACTTTAAAATATGAAAATAATACTAATATATCTTGGTTAAAGACATATTCATTTGAAATGATCCTACTTCAGAGAAGCACTGACAGAATGTCCTGTCAGAATAGCAAATACATGCTAAGGTTTGCTTAGGGTAAGGTGGCCTCAAATTCTTTTGCCTCTGAAACCGCTATTTGATTAAGTAAAGGAGCTATTCACTGACAGCCAGAAAAATCCCAATCTGTGCACTAAAAAGAGGCAAATGATACAATAAAATAGTTATTATGAAGCTGCTTGAAACAAAGGAAACTCAAGCGTGGGTGGTTTCTTACACGAACATACTGGACATTTATTGTTGTCTTTAAGACTTTTTGAAGACAAGAGGCCCATCTATAGTGTGCTTGATGGCTGAAGAAATAGAATGCTTACTATGTTTTCTCTCTGGTTTGGTAAACCAAAAAGGTGAACATCTATGGTTTCTTTTTCATCCCTTAAAAGTAGTATTATGTGCGGACATTAAGGCAGTGTTTCTCAAAACAGGGATCATAACCACACGTGGGATCATTCAAGTGGCAAAGTAGAAGGTGATTTGGCAACCAGTAGTGAGATAATGAACGTGAAGGACAAATCAAGGAAAATCACAAACTAGAAGTTTGGTAACTTCTTGAAAACAGATGAGCCATGCCCTATATGACCCCTGCATACTTCTTAATTCATTTCATAATCAGCACAGAATTAGTCAAATGATTGCAATTTGATTAGACTGATTGGGATGCTGTCTGGAGACCTCTGTTCTCTCAAGATGACACTTTTATATTTCAGATGCAATGACAAAATAGGTTTCCAGATTTATTACAACCTACATCTATTCATAGAAGTTCTTAAGGTCAAGTAATTAATGTTTAGTATTTTCAAGAGCCAGAAATGGAACTTTTAAGCAGCATGAACCTACAGACTACTCACTCTTTCATCAAGGAAAATTGGTCAAATGAGTGATGGAGCAAGAGTGATCTTGCTTGCCCAGAATGTGGGACAGAGAGAGAAACCTAATCCAGCTTGAAACTTTCTACATGTGTAACCTCATAGAAATCAGCATCTGTAAGCTTAATAATAGAAAGGCTTAGCAAGTCATTCACCAATAAAACCAAAGATTGAGATTTGTGGAGGCTGAATACCATTTTATCCTTAGTTATTACTACTGTCTGTGATCAATCATGACTGCATATATTGCAATAGTTAGCTTATCCTCATATTTGAATTTTTCAGTTAGGTGGAGATTATTTGAAGCAGATTCATTTGCTTTGGTGAAAAAGATAATACTTTCATGGAGAAGAGCCATTGTGCTCCATCAGTATTTTCACGTACATAAACAATTACAGGTAACTTTCTGACCCACCTTCACAGTTTTGTCTTTGATTTTGTTTAGAAATCTCCAACAGCTCATTGTTCATTCATATATTTTACTGTGGGAATATGTGGAAATCTTAACAGGCAGTGTATGATTAAAAACATTACTCCATCTGGTTGATTTGATCATCAGAATTTTTTGTCTGTCAGACTTGCACACA